AGTAAGTTTGTATTTAGGACTATCAACATAAAATCAATGGTTAGTAAAGAAGGCGAGACATTTCAGCGTGTGCACTCTTGTTTGTTATTATTTTGAACATTATTATAGATATATATAATCTGTAAGCAGCAATAATGTTCAGCAAAGTAAGATCTACAAAAAAGTTCATATGACCATAATTGTCAATTGACCCCTTAAGGAGTTATTGCCCTTGAAAGACAATTTTACACAATTTGTTCATCAAGTTTGCTAACATTTAAAAATCTTCTCCTCTGAAACTACTGGGCCAATTACCTTCAAACTTAAACTTAATGTTCCTTAGGGTATCTTGTTTATAAATTGTATACAAAGTTTGTATCCATCGACAAACATGGCTGCCATGGCTAAAAATAGAACATAAGGGTCAAATGCAGTTTTTGGCTTATATCTCAAAAACTAAAGCTTTTAGAGCAGATGTGACATGGGGTAAAATTGTTTAATTGGTCAAGATCTATCGGCCCTGAAATTATCAGACGAATCGAACAACCCATTGTTGGGTTGCTACCACCGAATTGGTAGTTTTAACAAAATTTTGCAGTTTTTTGTTATTATTTTGAATATTATTATAGATATATATAAACTGTAAGCAGCAATAATGTTCAGCAAAGTAAGATCTACAAAAAATTTAATATGACCAAAATTGTCAATTGACCCCTTAAGGAGTTATCGCCCTTTTTGTTCATCAAGTTTGCTAACATTTAAAAATCTTCTCCTCTGAAATACAGGTGAGCGATTCAGGCTCTTGAGAGCCTCTTGTTAGCTCACCTGGCCAAAAGGGCCACGTGAGCTTTACTCATCACTTTGGCGTCCGTCGTTGTCTGTTAACTTTTACCATAATCTTCTCCTCTGAAACTACTGGGCCAAATTTAACCAAACTTGGCCACAATCATCATTGGAGTTTCTTGCTTAAAAAATGTGTCTGATGACCCCGCCTGTTAACCAAGATGCCACCATGGCTGGGGTAAAATGCAAGTTTTGTCTATTATTTTGAAAACCATTATAAATAGAGAAAATCAGACAGGTGCAGAAATGTTCAGAATGTTGAGCTCTATACCAATTGTCCATATACAACAAAACTGTCAGACGACTTCTTATAGGAGTTATTTTATTGCCCTTAAATGACAAATTTTACCATTTGTTTTCATTTTTGCCTCTTATTTTGAAAACTATAATAGATAGAGAGAAACTTTAAATTTCAAGAATAGTCAGCAAGACAAGTTCTACAAATAAGTCTCATGGTCGAAATCGTCAGTTGACTCTTTATTAGAGTTATTGTCCTTTGATGACAATTTTTACCAATTTTTTGCATTTTTGCCTGATATCTTAAAAATTATAATAGATAGATCGAAACTTAAATAAGCAAAAATGATCAGCAAGACAAGATCTACAATTAAGACAATATGGAAGAAATCGTTCGAAGACTCCTTATTGGAGTTATTGCTTTTTAATGACGATTTTACCATTTTTTTTGTGTTTTGCTTTATACATTGTACATGTTATATGATAAAAATTATAATAGTTAAATAAATATTTTAAATCACAAAAATGATCAGCAAGATCTACTAACAAGTCAAATTTTGCCAATATAGTTAGTAGACTGTCACTCTTTGTAGGAGTGATTGCCCTTAAATGAGGAATTTTTTGCCCTTTTTTGTTTTTTGAGCAAAAACTAAAGAAGATAGAGAGAAACTAAACAGAATAAATGATCAGCAATACAAGATCAACAAAACAGAGATTTTTGTCATGCATTCTCTTCTCGTCTACAATGTTGGAGAGTGTCTTTTGTTGAATATGCACATAGACCATGCTGAGCGACACAGGCTCTTTAGAGCCTTTGGTTCCATTTAAGAAGACGTTGTGACAGGTACATGTACATTTGTGTATTCCACTTATGTGATGAGTCGTAATGATCCTAAAAATTGATTAATTTGTAAATAGAATTGGTCAGCAGGTATTTTTCATACCATCACAATTTGCAACATCTACCATAGTGTCATGATAAAGATGTAATTTACTGAAAGACAAAACTATAATGAACTCTTTGGGAAACACTGTCTTACTTGAAATCTGTTAAAAATTTTAAAATCAGATGTGTTTTCATATTTGTCTGTCTAGTTCTGATTAAAAATGATGCCATATATATATGCAGTCAGGATTCTACTTCGTCAAAATTATCTCCCCATTGCGCCACCTACTTTTTTCAATTGTAAAATGGAAGCCATTGTAGGGATGAGGTGCTGTCAATTATGCTCTTAAAAAACGATAAATTTATCCACATAGCATCATTGCAATCCTTATTTGACAGTTGTATTTCAAAAGACTAATAACCCTGGATAAAAATGCAAAAGAAGTTGTGCACAAAAAAAGATCCACAAGTAAAGTCTGTCATGTACTTTTAGTAAAAATTTGCGATCCAGACACACCTACTCTGTTCATGCTGTTATATAATTATGATTCATTAGAAAGGTATTTCACTTGACCAATATACTTCATTTTTTATTACTGTGAATTTTTATGTTATTATATCAACCTGTAGCCGAAATATATAAGAACAACAGAATCTGAAATGAGATGATGTATCAAATATATTTGCTTTATAAGTTTTCAAGATAAAATAGTCCTATACACGCCTGAACATTAATTTTCTCTTTTCGATGACATTATTGCCCATTTCAGAGTTCCCAAAATCTTTTTTTCCTGGTGGTCCTTGAAGAAAATCTGCTGGTCCTCACTATCATTTCTATTGCAAAATACCAAAATTGGGTCTTAAAAAAGATCAATCTTTTATCTTTCTGTGGAATTTTTTTCTGCAGAATTTATGCTCATGCACAAAAAGATCCACATGTATTTGCTCCTACCATGATCAAATGTTTTGTGAAAATATGTCTTTAATTTAAAAGTTTACAAAAATCATGAAGCTCCATACTATAAGTAAAAACTATTATGCACCTACATTTAACTTTAAGGGAGTTTGCTTCTCAGTTTCAAAATAATAAGCTTTTCAAAATACTAGTATATATTGATAGGGGATTAATAAAGGAATCATAAGAGCAAAAAAAATATATAGGTCAATGTGCTTGTTTTCGAGCTATTGAAATTTCGGCGGGAAAATGTTCTCTCTTGACTTTTCATAGCTTTATCATTGACAAGTTTAAGTTCTCAAAAACTATTTGAAAATAACAAAGATTTTATAAGACTTTTACAGATGGCTTATAATTATACATGTAAAAGATTTATAAAAAAAAAAATGGGGGTCAATGGACAAAAATGTGTAAGGCATTCAAATGGATAAAACCAGAGGATTCCGAAAATCTGACAAAAATCCCAAAACATGACAAGCGAACATCCTTAAAAGCCCATAGAAACGGATATAAACAATTCAAATATATACCAACCAGGCCTTTTTTCCATTCTCTAATAAAGAGTATACGTTCCATTTCTTTTGATTCAATTTCAACTGGGTATCATCCTGTATTATATTCACTTCTACTGTGAGAGCACTATATACATTAAAAGAAATTGTTCCAAGAAAGATAACTCAAGTTTATCCTTCTTATGCCCTCGCTGTTGCGGAGGGGCATTAAGTTGTACCCTTGTCCATCTGTACATCCGTACGAACATATGTCCGTACGTCCCAAAGTTGGTTTCCATTCTCTAACTTTAGTTTGCCTCAACCAAATATCATGAAACTTATACATAAAGCTTAATACCACAAAACACAGATCAAGTTTGAATTTTGGTGGTGTCACTTTAACTGTTCTAGAGTTATGCCCCTTTACAAATGGAAAAATTGCTGAATTTTTCGTTTCGTTCTCTAGTTTCAGTTTGCCTCAACCAAATATTATGAAACTTATGCACAATGCTTATTACCACAAAATAAAGATCAAGTTTGAATTTTGGTGGCATCACTTTAACCGTTCTAGAGTTATGCCCCTTTGCAAATGGAAAAATTGCTGAATTTTTTGTTTCCATTATCTAGTTTAAGTTTGCCTTAACCAAATGTAATGAAACTTATGCACAATACTTATTACTACAAAATAAAGATCAAGTTTGAATTTTGGTGGCATCACTTATACCGTTCTAGAGTTATGCCCCTTTACAAATGGAAAATTGCTGAATTTTTTGTTTCCGTTCTCTTAATTAAGTGTGTCTCAACTAAATGTTATGAAACTTATTCACAATGCTTATTACCACAAAACTCAGATCAAGTACAAATTTGGGTAGCGTCACTTTTACCGATCTTCAGTTATGTCACTTTATAACTTTAGATGGAAGCAGGGGCATCATCTGTGTCCCATGGCCACATTCCCCATTTATTCTCAGTAATAAAAGACCAACTGAAGAGCTGTCTCAATCCTTTTAATTTTGGGACATTTAGTCTTTAAAGCATAGCTAAGAAGGTCTTTATATGGGGTTATGAGGGTTGGGGGTTCTTCATTTTATATTCTGTATTTTTAGGCCATTTTTCTCTTCTTTCTTTATTTATCAAATTATTCTCTGTTCTTTAAGCACCATATTATTTTCTATTCTAAAGAAAATGAAAGAATACATTAAACATGTTTTTTGCATGTATTTAAGCCCATATGCATGCAATAACTGCCTTGGTCTTTTATCTTTTACCATAAAAATGTTGGTTTTCATATATCATGTATATCACACAAAAGTAACTAAAGCCCTCAAAATAAAAGTTAACAGCCTCACAAGATTATGTTGTCCTGTACTGTTCACATGTAAGAAGTTGCTGTATCAAAAGCTACATGCAGTCACTGATATTAGAGTTTTGGTTGGACAGTCACCAATATAAGAGTGTGTGAGGATAATATTTCATTGAAGTATTGTATATGCCTTGAAGTTGTTTTCAGTAATTGTGGTCATCCCTACATGTATGTTAATTGTATGTCATTAATGTTTGAATGTGTATTCAATAGATAAGAACTATAGGTTTATTGTTTTGTTTTCAGAGGGCTGTTAACGCATACTTTGAAGAAACTGGAGAATCTATAGGTTCTGCTCCACAGAAGAAAAAAATCAAAATAGATGGTCTAAGCTTTAGTGGTAGATCTGATGGCAACAATTCTAGCAGTTCAACTTCTGTTATTAAGACTGAGCGGTATGAATAAATTTGCAGACATTATCTTATTATGTACATATGCTGATATTGATATTGAAATGTTCCCACTATCTGAATATAAATGAATGATAGCATTACATTTAAGGCTGTCTGATTAACTGGGACAAGTGACAGTTGTCATGGGGCAAGTGAAAGCTGCATTGTACTTGTCTGCTGCGCAGGTAAAAATTAAAAGTTAGAAACGGTGAAAAATACAGAATCTATTTTCTAAGTAATTCTCTTTTCAAAAATCAATTAGTTTTGACAATATCAAAAAATTTACGCAACTTCTCATGCTAACTATAAACATTTTAAAAATATTGGACACTCAGAGTACGATTTTGTTGTTGACACATTTTTTTAATGAACCAACATGATTAGATCCAGCTTTTTTCAGTCAGGGGTACTACTTGTACAAGTAATTTTTATTTACTTGAAGAAGTAATATTAATATACTTATATAAGTAAATTTGTAGGATACTTATACAAGTGTATTTTATTTACTTGTATAGGTAAAAAAAAAATTGGCTTAGTTATGTCCCTTAGACATTCATGTTTTTTTACTTATATAAGTGAAAAAGTCATCCTATCTTCTTTTCTTGAATTCTTAGGACTTTTTTGCTCTAATAGAATTTTAAATTGTCTGTCCTTTGCAGATGTCTTAACTAATCGTTTAAGTGTAATTTCATGGACAATGAAAATCTCATTTGTCTGTTTTCTTCAGAACACTGCTCATTTACAAGCCCCAAAGGAGCAATTTTTGAAGGCCTTGCACAAATACTTTAGATCTTTGCGCAATCAGTTTCTTTGTTGAATTAATGAGATGAAACATTGAACTCTAATAAAAAATTATGAGCTAACCTGGGAAAAATCATTAAAGGTATGTTTTTACATCTCAAAACTTGAGAATTTTTGTGGGATTGTAAAAAAAATTTACTTATACAAGTGAATTTTTGAGAAAATTAAGGGGAGATTATTCAAACATTATAATTAACTTATATAAGTTTATTTTTTTACTTCTTCAAGTAAATAAAGATTACTTGTACAAGTAGTACCCCTGACTGTTTTTAGGAAAATTATCTGAGACACAATAATAAGTTCACCTGTATCATTGATTTTCAAAAACTTGGAACAAAAGTGTAATAAAGGAAGATTAAAAAATATATATAAATAAATTTAAACCTGTAATTTATTTATGAGCTTTCTCAACAATCATAACTTAACTTTACTTCATACAAGAGACACATCATTATTGATCCCAGATTATGCACAGGGCACTGGGAAAATTATTTTATTCAGACCCAGTCTTTTCACTGGGTAGAGAGCACATTACTTTCTAAAATAACATTCTCATGCCCCTATGATGAAGATGGCACTGCAGCTGACTCTGACAGTCTCTGTGGAAGTTCTTTAGTGAATTTAACATGATTTTGATGTCCATAATTAGCAGTTTAGAAATTTTTGAGCAAGCACAAATTTTGGACAAGTGGTTTCCTTTTTGGACAGGTAATATATCTTGGTCACTTTCCTGAAGGGCAAATTGTTAAAACAGTTAATGTCAAACCCTGATTCATGTACATGTATGTTGCATCAGAACCCATAAATTCAATATTCATGACTGCATGTGTTACCCATATAAATGTCAGGATAGTGCATAACAAAAAAACAGAAACTTGATATATTAAATACATGTATATACATGTATATATAACTTATAATTTCATGGTTGTAGCATAAAAATATAAGTATAAGAATTGAATGCTTCTTTTAATTTTATAGGGTTGTAAAAGCATTGATTGTGCACACATTTTTAGAATGAAGCGCTTTGATGCTTCTTCTTCTTCTTTCAATACAGAGTCGGACTCTTCTTGAGTGTATAATGACTCTTGCTCGTATAATCATGAGGCCTTTCCTCCTCCTTTATCAAAACCAGCAGTAACTATTTACAGTAATTATTATTTATAAATTAAAACTATATACATCTGGGATCTAAGGAGTTCTAGGTGTGAGAAGCTCGTGTCAAGGCCTCTGGCAGGATGGTAAGGTTGGCCTTGAACTCTTTGAGTGTAGCTGATGTTGTGGCTTTTTCCGGTAGTGCGTTCCATTCCCTGGTTGATCTTGGGAAGAAGGAGTACCTGTACTGGTCTTTTAGAGTACGCTGTTGGTGTATGCGGTGACCTCCTCTGGTCCGTGAATCTCCAGGTTTGTAGTAGTTTGATGGGTCAATATCTACCAATCTATTGTGTATCTTGTAGGCCATGGTGAGGCAGTCTTTACAGCGGCAATCTTTATGGGGCTTCCATCTTAGTCTCTCCATTATAGAGCTGACACAACCTGGGGATACGTCTTGGTATTCATTGAACACGAACCTGGCTGCCCTCCTCTGCACTTGTTCTAGATCTTTTGCAAGATTTTGTTGGTAGGGGTCCCATACAGAGGAAGCGTATTAAAGAGTTGGTCTAACCATGGTGATGTAGGCATTGGCTTTGACTTCTGGTTTACACCGCCCTAGGTTCCTTCTCAGGAAGCCTAGTGTCCTTGATGCTTTGCCTACCGTCTGGTTGATATGTGTCTTCCACTGTAGGTTGTGATTTACGGTGACTCCCTGGTATTTCCCATGCTAAACTGCATCTAGGGTGTGACCATGTAGTTGGTAGTTCCTTATCGGTGGGTTTCTTTTGTTGGTTATCCGTATCACGATGCACTTCTCAGGATGGAAATTGATCTGCCATCGTGACTCCCACTCTTGGAGTTTGTTGAGGTCGTCTTGTAGTGTCTGGCTATCCTTTCTGTTCTTTATTTTTCTATAAACTAGGCAATCGTCTGCAAATAACCTTGCCTCAGAAGTTGTTGATTGTGGCAGGTTGTTTATATAAGCCAGGAATAAGAGTGGTCTAATGACTGTCCCTTGTGGCACCCCTGAGATGACGTCTAGGGGGTTGGATTTATGCCCTTCAAGCAGTACAGATTGTGTTCTCTTGCTTAGGAAGTCTAGTATCCACTTGAGTGTTACAGTTACTCCTTGTATTCCATAGTGGTTCATTTTTTGGAGGAGTCTCTTGTGGGGCACTTTGTCAAAAGCTTTGGAGAAGTCAAGCAGGATGATGTCTGACCCCTTGGTCTTAATTCTTGCCAATTTCATCTAGTGTTATCAGGAGTTGGGTTTCGCAAGATCTTTTTGCTCTGAACATGCTGAAACCGTGTTGATGGTCACATAGGATCTGGTGGTGGTCAAAGTGATCCATGATGGTGCTGTGAACAATATGTTCCAATAGTTTGCAGCAGATTGAAGTCAAACTGATAACAAACAACTGCCTTGGTCAAAGCCTTTACATCCTAATAAAATAACAGAAAATTATGCAGTCTTTTGCAATGAACATTTGATTATGTCATATGGCAAGCTTCAAATAGTCATGATATTTTACATGTAAGTGTATTGAAATTTTAAGTTTTTGCTTATTAGAGGTAACCTTTATAGCAGGTTTGACTGTATTTCATATATCTGACCTTTAATAGATATTTTAAAGGAAGCCTGATGTTGATGATCCTCTGCCAAACAGAATAAAACTGATGTCCTGGAACATTGATGGTCTTTGTGAGAAGGCAATGGTCAAGAGAACACAGGCAGTCTGTGACATCATCAACAAGTAAGGATCTAAAGAAACTGACCCATTTTTTTAGCTCACCTGGCCCAAAGGGCCAAGTGAGCTTTATCATCACTTGGCGTCCGTCGTCCGTCGTTGTCGTCCGTCATCGTCCGTTGTCGTCAGCGTCCGTCGTCGTTAACTTTTACAAAAATCTTCTCCTCTGAAAGTACTTGGCCAAATTAAACCAAACTTGTCCACAATCATCATTAGGGTATCTAGTTTAAAAAATGAGTCTGGTGACCTGGCCAACCAACCAAGATGGCCACCATGGCTAAAAATAGAACATAGGGGTAAAATGTAGATTTTGGCTTATATTTCTGAAACCAAAGCATTTAGAGCAAATCTGACGGGGTAAAATTGTTAATCAGGTCAAGATCCATCTGCCCTGAAATTTTCAGATGAATCGGACAACCCGTTGTTGGGTTGCTGCCCCTGAATTGGTAATTTTAAGGAAATTTTGCTGTTTTTGGTTATTATCTTGAATATTATTATAGATAGAGATAAACTGTAAACAGTAATAATGTTCAGCAAAGTAAGATCTACAAATAAGTCAACTTGACCAAAATGATCAGTTGACCCCTTAAGGAGTTAATGCCCTTTATAGTCAATTTTTAACCATTTTTCGTAAATTTTTGTAATCTTTTACAAAAATCTTCTCCTCTGAAACTACTAAGACAAATTTTACCAAACTTGTCCACAATCAGCATTAGGGTATCTAGTTTAAAAAATGTGTCCGATGACCCGGCCCACGGACCAAGATGGCCGACATGGCTAAAAAATAGTACATAGGGTAAAATGCATTTTTTGGCTCATATCTCTGAAACTAAAGCATTTAGAGCAAATCTGACTTGATAAAATTGTTCATTAGGTCAAGATCTATCTGCCCTGAAATTTTCAGACCAATCAGGCAACATTTTGTTGGGTTGCTGTCCCTGAATTGGTAATTTTAAGAAAATTTTGCAGATTTTTGGTTATTATCTTGAATATTATTATAGATAGAGATAAACTGTTAACAGCAATAATGTACAGCAAAGTAAGATCTACAAATAAGTCAACATGACCAAAATTGTCAATTGACCCCTTAAGGAGTTATTGCCCTTTATAGTCAATTTTTTACAATTTTCATAAATTTTGTAAATTTTTGTAAATTTTTACAAAATATTTTCTACTGTAACTACTGGGCCAAGTTCATTATAGATAGAGATAATTGTAAGCAGCAAGAATGTTCAGTAAAGTAAGATCTACAAACACATCACCATCACCAAAACACAATTTTGTCATGAATCCATCTGTGTCCTTTGTTTAATATGCACATAGACCAAGGTGAGCGACACAGGCTCTTTAGAGCCTCTAGTTTTTAAAAAAAAAATTTCAGTAGTCAGGCTTTTACAATCCCTGTACATCACCACCCATTGTTATACTGTGAAACCAGGAAACATATCCATTTAATTCAGAAAATTATACTGTAAATTCAGAAATTATTGGGTGCATTTATTATTGTGATTTTTGGAGAATGAACAAAAATGCCAGTTTAATTATTGCGATTTCAGGAATTTCTGCATTAAATATACGTATCCAGGGGTGAAACTTAACTTTGTAAGGCCAGTAGCCAGCTGGGCTACTAGACTTGAAAATCAGTTAGCCCAGACAAAAAGTTAGTAGCCCACTTAATTTCACTATGAGTATCACTGGTGAAGCCCGTGAAGCGGGCTGAACTTGCTAGGGGGGTTTGGGGGCATGCCCCCCCAAGAAAATTTTGAAATTTTAGACTCAAAACCCTGCATTCTGAGCATACCTGGAGGTGATTTAGATGCTTGGGAAAATGTAAATTTTGTCTTACTTTTGTTGTTGACTTCAATCAAATTTAATAAAAAAAAAAAATCATTTACAAAATGGGAATCTTCATACCCTGTGTACCAGTTTTTTTTTAATATCTTTTTAAGATAACAAAAGAATTCTCTGTCCTTAAATACATCTAGATGATAGATGAAATATTTAATTTTATTTCTTTAATAATCTAATTTATTAGATATCTTGATCGATTTATTTTGCGTAACTACGTACATATGTTAACAAATGACCGCCCTTTTTCCCCAAAAGACTTGTACACGTATTTCAAAAGCATTGTCATAAAATTGATATCCCCTCTGATTTTCTCTTTTTTGTAAACTGTTCAGTAAGAAGGAAACTAAAATCATTTTGAACTAATGTTATTTATTTGTGGTCGACAATATTCTACTTTCGTTTTTGACCTTCATTCTCTGGACACCACGTGGGCTTTGAAAAGGGAACTACAAAAGGTACTGTTTTCCAGATTCTTAACAACATTATATATTTATTTGACTGATATTATTTCATAACATGCTATTGTCATCTTCTCTGAATTTCTTCGCTTTCTTGAAGCCAAAACCAAACAGGGTATTTGATCGCTTCATATTGTAAATGACCATCGGAACGTCTCTCATGTTATCCTTGCAAACATACGATACTTTCCGGACTTTAATTAGACGACCAATCAGTGACCTGAATTAACGTGAACTATATTTAGTCAAAGGTAAACACTGATTTTACATCCTTGTTTATCGCGACTTTGCGATAATACGACTCTCGACACTTGCCTGTATGCATTTTAAAAAGATTTTTGTTTCTTTTTGAATTTATATTTTTTTCAGTGAAGTAGCCGACTCTTGGAGCCAACGGTAAACAGCGGATTTCCGTCTGTCGAGTACTTTGTTTTCAATTCGCCACCTGGGCTACCACAACTGAATAAAAAGATCGCCCAGGTCAATTTCTGGTCGCCATGGGCGACTGGGCGACCGTTAAGTTTTTTCCCTGTAGTATCTGATATCAGAATGTGAGTTCTTATTATTGCGATACTCACCCAATCGCATTATTCGCATTGATAAAAACCTCGCAATAATTTCTGAATTTACAGTTTTATAAATTGTCTAGAATGCTAGAGATACATGTACCTACAATACACACAAAATAACAAGGCTCAAGTCAGTACGGCTGGTGTCGAGTAATATGTTGTAAAACATTGTAAAACAAGGGGTATCTATTGAAAAAAGTTGATAACACTGATTGAAGCAAATGTGAATGTTAGAACATTAGTTTGCAGATAGGTTTGTACATGTAGACAAAGAATAGCTCCAGTCTTCAATCATATTATATTTGCTTGGTAATGAAAAGGGCTTGAATCTTATATATAATTATTTCTAGGTCATAAGTCAAGGTTATAACATATAACATATATATCTAATCTCAAACATTATCAAAATCGTCTTTATGGGCCAGAATAGCTGAAACTTTTCTTTTTCTTATGGAAAGATAAAATTTCAAGAACTAAGTTTTTTTGTTTGTTGAACTTTTGTATTTTATAGGGAAAATCCTCATGCAGTATTTCTGCAAGAAGTAGTCTCAGAAACTTTAGAAGTACTAACAGCTAAATGTCCAACCTACCACATCATAGAGGCAGCCAATGAAGAGTACTTTACTGCTGTCATGTTAAAAGTGGGTGTGGCTGAAGTGAAAGAGTCAAAAGTCATTCCCTTTACATCAAGTTTGATGTTGAGAACACTGCAAAAGATTGAAGTAAGCTTATGAAGAAAAGGACAAGGTTCAATTTAGGCCAAATATGGCTTTGAATTTCAACTTTATCATAAAATATCAAAAAGGCATTAATTTGGTTCTTTAATGGATCTATTTCAAAAGCCATCCTACTAAGTTAGGGATCATAGATTTATTCTTACGAGGAAGCTCCGAGCATGCTTGGAGGATGCTACGAGCTTTTTAAGTAGGCTCTTCTCAGCAGTTTATGTGACAATAATTATCATGATCCATCAAGATGTCAATCAAATCTATAGCACTTCTATAATAAGGAAAGTAAAGCATAATAGAGGAAGCTCAATTAACACCTGTGTAAACATCTGGTCTGTTCAAATACATTTTGCATGAAATTTTACACTATAAAATAGATTAGAAATTCTTCATCAGTACTGAGAAATGCTTGGAAAAAAATGTCAAGTTTCCACAAAAAGTAAGTCATTAAAATATTTTCTTATTATATTGAATAACCATTCTTTTTTAATAATAAAAAAATTCTTAAATTTTATAATTAGATTATATAATTTAGATATAGTTTATACTATATAATATGCTTCATAGAAGTCATCAAGACACAAACAACAGATAGGGGGCGATACTAAACAAGTTATTGTTTTTAGTTACTTATATTTTTTTTTTTTTTTTATATTATTTAATAACTCAATAGTTATTTTAAATGTCAATAGAAGCATGGACTAAATGTAGTTTTTAAGAATTTCTATATAATTTTATTAAATAAAATTAAGTATTTATCAAATGTGAGAAAAAGGTTACTTTAAAAAATTAGGACAAAAATATTACTTTTATAAATTATTTTATACATCTTTGAAATTAGTACTTATAATTATTTATGGAACATATGTTATTGTTTTAGATTTCACATTATAAATAACTTCAAGTCTCAATTAAATCACAAGGTTCCATCTATTTATATTTGTCTACCATTAAGATTTTAAAGGAAAATGATATTTTAATAGTCCCAAGAGGACAATCTTCGACCCAGAAGCGTGGCTCAGAAAGGCAATTAGTGTTTCAGGAGGATTAGTTTTATATTTCATGGGAAAAATAACCAGATGTCTGAAAATTTGTTAAAGCTATTAAAACCTGTATGAATGGACACATATAAAAAAGAATTTAAAATAAGTTTTTTTTTTATACATGAAAAAGAAGTAATATATGATATAGCATCTTTTTCAACATAAATTGTATAGGTAATTTTGAAAATTAATTGTTTAAGTAATGCCCCTAACTAAACAATGGTAATATGTTTTTTTTTTTTAAAATAGCAAACTTAGTTCTTTTATAGTAAATTTATGGCTACTTTAGGAAAAGTTGTAATTCATTATTGGAAGGCTGGTTTGAGGGGGTAATATCACCATTGTTTTTTTCCCTAGTACATCTCTCTTTAATTAACTTTTATTTCTAATTGTGTAGAATTTATCTTTGTTTTAAATAAAGAAATATTTGGCATGAGTAAAGTTTTATCCTGTCCATTACTACAGTGAAAATTTAACAGAAAATTGTTTTTCCCCCATAAGTCTTTGTTTAATTTGCCTTTTTTTTTAAATGTGCTGAATTTATCTATGTTTTAAATAAAGAAATACTCTACATGAGTGAAGTTTTATCTTGTCCAGTACTACAATGAAAATACAACATAACTTTTCATTGCAGATAAGATATTAAACGTCACCAGAATTTAACCAGTCAAATTCCTCTCCCCCTTTTTTTCCTGTTTACCAGCTTTTAAGGAGCAGTGTTCCCTTAAATTTCAAAAATATTTTATAGCAACACCATATAGAAAGTTTTATTGCTTTGAAACGCCCAAGGTACATGTTAACGACCCCAAAAAAAACTTTCTGCAATGAAATGCAGGGTTATTTTCCAACAACTGTCACATTAAATGGCATATATAAAACAAATTAACCATTTTTGGCTTGAAACTGAATGTACTATATTTTAGTAGTATTACACCTTGAAAGAATTTTGACAATATAACGGAGTAAAATGAATGGATTTTAGTTCAGCAATCCTCTATTTCCTTTTCTTGAATGACTTTTTAATATATATAAACAACTATCAAAAGGAAAGTAAAGCAATGTAGAGTAAGCTCAGTTAACACCTGTATGTAGAAACTCATTTTATATAGGCCTTTATCAGTACATACTATCAATATAAAACAGATCCTAAAAATATAAATATATATACTGAATTTTTTTTTTATAAGATTCAAACTAATTTCTTTTTCTTTTTAGATTCATGAGTATAATAATAAAAAAAAACAGCTGCGCCACGAGCGCATGATACGCCCGTCGTCTTGTGTGTGAGGTTTTATGCAATAATCATAAATCGTTTCTGAGATACGGCGAAACATGTGAAAACCCCACTTTTTTTATAAAAAAATCAATAACTCTAAAATAAAATTTTGAATCATCACCAAAAAGTATACAGATCTTTAGATTAATATAACTAAGAAGTGTGAAAAGTTTAAGCAATAATCATAAATCGTTTTTGAGATACGGCGACATGTGAAAAAAACACCCCCCTGTTTTAGTTACAAAGTCCCATAACTCAAAAAGTTTTAATCTTATTTTCACCAAAAAGTATACAGATCATTTGACCATCATAAGAAACAACTATGTTAAGTTTCATGAAATTTGGATAAGTCGTTCTCATGTTACGGTGCGACATGTGGATGCCGGACAGACAGACAGACGGACGCCGGACATTTGTATACCATAATACATCCCGTCAAAATTTTGACAAGCGTATAAAAAAATTTTGACAGGCGTATAAAAACCCAACATAAATCAAAGTTAGTAAGAATTTTAGACAATAATTATGTTCATTAGTATAGGAAATTGTGGCAGTTGTTTGGAGTTGAATTAATTATTTTTTGCTTGTTTATGTTGTTTAATATTCAATTTATACAAGTAAAATATGATTACACAATTTAAAAGTAAATATTGATACAAGTCTCTCTGCAGTCTGTCCAATAATACTGTTTAGAAATCTGTGTAGATGCAAAACATTAGTATCAAAGGTCTACATCACAGCATGATATATTATATAAACATTATAGTTTGAGGGAATAACCCATTTTACAGTTTCAGTAGGGATAATTATCTTAGAGCATCCTCTTTTATGCTCCATATTGAAAATATTTTGTTAATATTAAAATGCTGTATGCTTTTAAATAAAAAACATCTTCAACAATAATAATTGATTCCAATTTTAAATACAGTTATCAAAAAATAAGATAGAAACTGATATTAGATTATTTTATATATGGTAGATAAACAATAATTTAACCCCTACTTTAAAGTGGTATAGTGACTACACCTATTGTCATGTTCCTACAGTCATGACAGTCATATGCAGAATCAACAACGATTTTAAGCAAACCAATTGAACAATAATTACTATACATCTTTAAATATTTGTAAGTGAGGGACCTAGAATATATAAGTCAAGTCTGCAAATTATTCAAGAAAATTGCCTGTTCTCTAGGCCTCAAACACTTAAACTTCTAAACTGCCATTTTCCTAACTTAAAATAAATTATTTAAAGAATTTTTAACTGCAGTTATAATATATAGTATAAAATAACAGTATGTTTTAAACTGGTATTCAATTGATTTAAAGCATTAGGGTAACGAATCAAAATTCTAAATTTTACGCAGACAGCAGAATAGATTGTATAAATGACTTCTCAATTTGATGATGATTTGCTCTTCTGTTCACATTTATAAATAGAGAAAGGAGGTTTATATGAAATGGAAATCTTGCAATTATCATTCAGGGATATCAAATGTAATTATGACTTTCTGCATTTTGATTAAGCTTAAAAGTGATATTTGAAAAAATAAGTTGACATTTTTTTTTAAATCAAAGTAATGAAGAACTAGAATTTATTAAATAAAAGACAAAAGGGATTCCAGAATATAGTATAATTTTTTGTTGTAAAGTTTTTGGTCCACTGAATTCATTTAATTGTCATAAAAACAAAACCAAAACTTTATTCAAGAAAAAGATATAGAGGATTGCTGAACTAAAATCAATTTATCATAATTATTACATTGTGAACAGTCTTTCAACCCAGTCTATGAATTACAACTTCTTCCCAAAGTAGCCATCATTTTCTTTTAAAGAAGTTTGCTATTGCATATAAAGATGAACAAATCATTATAAACCTATTACCATAGTTTGTGTCTTTGGTGACTTTTATCTTTAATTTTATATAGTATAAATTTAAGCTATATTTATATTTTAAATATAAAATTTGATTTTTTTTTGTATTGAAAAAGAATGATTATAAATAAGAAAATATTTTAAAAACATTATCTTTCTGTGAAGACTTGATATTTCTTGCCAGGCATTGTACATATTGAAAAATTTCTAATCTATTTTATAGTTTTGTAAAATTTCATTCAAGATTTATTTGAACAGACCAGATGTTTACACAGGTGTTAATTGAGCTTCCTCTATAATGCTCTACTTTCCTTATTATAGAAGTGCTATAGATTTGATTGACATCTTAATGGATCATGATAATTATTGTCACATTAACTGCTGAGAAGAGCCTGCTAAAAAGCTCTGAGCATCCTCCGAGCATGCTCCGAGCTTCCTCGTAAGAATAAATCTATGATCCCTTAACAAAATCTCTTTTTAAAGAGTATATTCTAGACTTCAAAATCAGCACAATTGGGATATATTGTCAAAATAGGATGAATTTTCATATTTCTCAGACCTAAAAGCATAAGAAATCTTGTCTGCAACCTACTATCCAAAATGTTCTGTGAAAATAAGATGCAAATAATGATATTAAATCCTTAGACAAAAGCATTTTCTGGACCAGGAGTGGCGTCCAAAGTAAATTATACTAAAATCTGTCAAGAATTATGGAAAAAATTTACCATTAACACAAATAATGCAAAATATAAGGGGTCATTACTTAAGAAATGATTCATGGCAGCCGTATATTTGTTATCA